TTCTAATTAAATTGATTTTTTGCCTTGACAGATCTTACTATTGGATGCCATTCTTTAGATATGTCGAGGCAAAAAATCAATTTAATTAGAAATAATATGAAAATTTTGTACTTGAAAAACTGTGCGGGCTCGTGCGGGCTTGTCAATCTACCTTGCGGGCTCTTGCGGGCTCTTTCACCTGCGAGCATGATGCGTTGAGCCCGCAACAGCCTGCCCTTTTGGAGGCACTGCCCCTTACTGGTTCCGTTTCCGCTCCGCAAGCGACAGTTGATTGGTCCGCGACGGCGCGGGCATTCTCTCATTACTTGTCATTACCCCGCGCTGGAAATACTTTTGAAGTACGCGTTACGCGCGCTCACTACTTCATGGCCATCAAAGGACAGGGGAGCATAAAAAAAAATGTTCTAGTCTTATTCTTTTTAATTACTTTTTTTTGAGAAATTAGAAGATCGACAGTAAAATAGTTGTGACTGAAGCTGGTGAGCCGGCCTTTGCTGGCGCTGCGCTAGGACGGCACGGGGGAGGTCACCCGCTGCTGGACGGCGCCGTCGTCGGCGTCCTCGCGGCGGCCACCCCGCCCGCAGCACGACGACAGGCCGCCGCCGCCGCCCTTGGGGACGCAGGAGCACGGCGACGAGCAGGCGGAGGGGCGGCAGCTGCGGTCCAGGAGCGCGCACACCAGCGGCAGCACCAGCGCGCTCGCCTGCAATAACCGCAACGGGCGCACGACTCGATTAAAGGGGGACCCCATTCGCTGATGGCACCATCATTGTCTGGACATCGTCCCCGCACCACCGGTCACCACTGACTCACTGACCATACAAGTGAGAAAAGACATACAAAACGAAGTGCTTTATAAAATTTTGCGAATTTTTTAAAAGAAAGGTGCTGAATAAAAACAAACAGTTTTGTCGAGAGAAAAAAATGGCATGCATGGGTTACTTTGTCAAATTCATAATGGGGAAAAAAAATAGTCCGAGCATTTCGACAGTGTGGCACGCTGCGAAGCCCATGCCTACAGAACGAAGTGATGCGCGGGATATTTATGATTATTGCGCTCTTATAGGCCCTGCTAGAGGACGGACCGGGTGGAGGAGAAGGGAAGGGGGGGGGGCATCCCCACAGCGCCCACAGGATGTCGTGACCCGTCGCGAGTGCCTAGCGGCATCCCCACTTCCCCTTTTCCCAGCAGGGTCCATCCCCCCTCGAGAGGGATGCAAGGCAAGTTTGGTCGCTCTTCTTCGTCTCCCTCTCGCACACGCTCCTTCAGGCCCCTCCGGTGAAGTGCTCTTCTCGCTGTCGCACTCTCTCCACGCTGTCGGCCGGGTGAGGCGCGCAATAAATTCGGCTTCGAACGCCCCGGTGATGGTGGGCGGGGGGCGGACCCAAGGCCGAGACCGGCGGAAGCCCGTGTCTGTCCTCCCCAGGTGCAAGGTCATCAGAGAAAGAGAGAGAGAGAGGGGGGGGGGTGTTACCTCGTCGGTGACGGGGGCCAGGTAGGCGAGCACGCGCGGCGCGCGGTCCCACGACAGCCCCGCGGCGGCGAGGTGCAGGTCCAGGATGACCCGGGGCGCGCGCAGCAGCAGGACGCCGGCGGCCGTCAGCCGTGCCACCTGGTGCGGAACACACACACACACGCGGAAGAGCGCCACGTCGTTGGGTCTCAGCTTACCGCTCGCACGCGCCACGCGCCGCCACCGTCACGCACCGCTCCTCCTCCCACCGCCGCGCCGGCCGGAGGAGGAGAAGCGGCACGGGGACAGATTTATACTCCGAGTGATCAAAGTCGTATATATAAACTAAGACCAGAGACGATCACACGGAAGTTGTAATAATTCAGGTTCATCGAATTCAATCATTCAAGTCGGGCAAACTCCAGTCGCGCGTAATTTATTTAAGCGCAGCAGTGGAATGATGAAAGTTAAAGTTAGTGTTTGACTATGGCAAAATTTAAAATAGACAAAACATTAGAGATATGCAGAAAGGTTGCTCCCCGTCTATTCCGGGTTTGCCGCGTCAGCGTCAGGGCACCGCCCGCGGGGCAGGCAGCCCAACATACACGGGTGCGCGGCGGCGCGGTAGCGGCGTGAGAGTAGGGCGCTCCTGAGAAGAGGCCGAGGGGCATACTTCAACCCATAATAAAAATCAGTGTACAAACTTCAAGAAAATAAATAAAAATGAGAAAAAGTCAATTTTAAAAATGAAACAAAAAATCTTAACAAATAAAGCAAAGGAAAACAAAGCTAAATAAAGAAAAGGAAGGAAAATCGGTGTACGGTTGAATTTATGGTGAAGTACCCCGCGGAAGGAGCTCAGTTTCGCGCGAATGAGTGAATCGATGAAGACTCTCGTTATTTCCTACTCACCGCGTTGAGGGCCGAGTGTGCTCGGCGGCTTGCGCTGCAGGAGTGCGGCGTCCTGGGGCGGGGCGCCTGCGGGGCGGCGGCGGGCGGCGGCAGCGCGGGCAGCGCCACCCGGGCGCCGCACAGGCACCAGACCCTGCCGCCAGAGAGACACCGTCATTGCACAGCCCGGACGCACGGCCACGTTCGTGTGCGATCGGGCATGTCGTCGTCGCTGGACTCACGTGACGGTGGCGGGCACGAGGCGGCCGGCGAGCAGCGCGAACACGGCGTAGGCGAAGGAGGCGCCGCTGTTGCCGCCGCTCCAGTTCACCGAGCACCACACGCCGGACACGTCGCAGCCGAAACTGGGGAGGGCAATAGAGAGAAAGGGGGGAGAAGAGGGCGGAATGACGGCAAGAAGAGTGACACCGCGGTGACACTGCGACGGGGCGGGAGAGCGCAGCGCCAGCGCGTAGCGAGGGACCTGACTGACTGCTATCATTACGTCAAGGTCACCTCGCCGACCTTGAACGGCGCCTCCGGGCAGAGATTAAATTTTATAAGGAGGGCGGTTCAATGTCTCTCGCCCTCGTCCGCCAGGTCACAGGCACCTCAAGGGTAGGCCATCCAAGCTGATCCGCGGCGGCGACGTGAGGCCGAGGCCGGCGGGCGGTCCTGACCTCGGTCCTGGCGGTCCTTACCTTCCCCAGCCCGCGAGGGGCGGCGCGGCGACGGCTACCCCGAGCAGCCAGGGCAGGGCGAGGGCGCGCGCGTACCAGCGGGCGGGCGGGGGCGGCGACGGCGACGGCATGGGGGCGGCGGGCCGCGAGCACAGCCAGCGCTCCAGCGCCAGTCCCGATAGCGTCCACAGCTGCACCACCACGCCCAGCTGCGCGGCCAGAAAGACACGGCAGCGTGACGGGGAAATGACACTTCTACTGCGCGTGACTTCGTTTGCCACTCACGTGCTGGATGAAGGCCTGCGCGATGCAGCCCTTGGCGCCGTACAGCCAGTGCCCGGTGACGGCCGAGGTCCCGGTGAAGGGGAAGCCGGACAGCACGGTGCAGGCCAGCGCGGCGGCGCACAGTTGCAGCAGCAGCAGGTGCGTGGGCGCGCGGGGCCGGGCGACCAGCAGGTGCAGCGACAGCCAGCTGAGGGCCGCGGCGGCGCTCACCCCTGCGAACCCAGGACAACATGATGGTTCACGCAGCTGCAGCACTTGCAGGTGCGTGGGCGCGTGGAGTCAGCTGACCAGCAGGTGCAGCGACAGCCAGCTGAGGGCCGCGGCGGCGCTCACCCCTGCGAACCCAGGACAACATAAAGGCTCACCCAGCTGCAGCAGCTACTGGGCCAGCCGACCAGCAGGTGCAGAGCGACAGCCAGCTAAAGGGCCACGGCGGCGCTCACCCTCCTTGCGCACCCAGGACAACGTGAACGTGAAGGCTCGTACAACTTTGGAAGAGTCGACGACGCCGGAATCGTGCCGAAAGCTGGCTCCGCGCCGCCGTCGTCATCGTTGCTGCGGCTGCCTAACCGTTCCCGCGCCACCGCGCCACCCGCCCCCCTCGGACATCGCCCACCGGGTGGCGGTGCCAACAAGTTTGCCCCAGCGAACGGCACGGCTTTGACAAACTCCCCCGGAGCACGTCTGCTCCCTCCTCTCCGCGAGCTGCTCCCCGAGGACGCGGCGCGCGGGGGCTCTCGCCTGTCGCGACCACGCCTGGCCGCGCGCTGATTTGTGAGGGTCGGTGCGCCGTCCTAAGCAGCCGTTTGTCCACAAATTCCTCGCCCGTGTCCCGTCCCGAGTTCCCCGCGCCGACCCAGGGAGGGACCCATTTTCCTCATTGACCCGACCGGAGTGCCGCGCGCTCACTACTCTCTGGGACCGCAACAACTGGGCTCACAGCGACACAGTGAGTACAGGAAATCCTTTCACATGGTCAGGTTCATAATTACGTTGATTCGGTGGGGGTTCTAAATGTAAAGGGAGTTAAGTAAACGTTAACATATTTTTAAAACAGTGTTGAAAATTTGAAACAATATTTTTTGTTGAACTATGTTTAAATTGTCCTATTCATTACAAATATGGGAAATCTGGTGGAATGCTTTGAATTTCCTCGCCACCCCCTCTACCCCCCCTCCCCCAACCTTTATCATTCATTTAAAACTGGCGCTCTCTCAATAGCTACGTCCTAACGTCCTCACGTGTCGCGCGTTACGTACCCAGGACGATGAGCGTGGCCCCGACGGCCGTGCTCACGGCGCGGTCCTGCGCCCTCCAGGGGCAGCCCAGCGATGCGAGCGAGCCCAGCGAGGCGCCGAAGTACTGCACGTCCGTGTCCATGGCGTCAAACTGCTCTGCCTCCGGCCGCGGCGCACCTGCCCGCCGTAGTAGTGGTGGCTGGCCCGTCCGGCATCGCCTCCCGCCGCCGCCGCCCCTTCGCCAACCTCCTCCTCCTCCTCCTCCTCCTGCTGCTTCGCTAGAGCCGTCTGCTGTCGCCCCTCTGATCCCCTGGAGACGCCACTGTACCACAACAACACTGCAGAGTGCCCGCTCGACGCACGTGGAAAAGACGACAGAGACGTCAGAATTTCACGGAATTGGCTGTCCCCACACCCACACCACTATTATTGGTCAAAAATATAGCGGCGGTGTTTGCGACGTCTCAAGCCAGCTATGGCTCTCAAACTGGCATTTCGTCGTGTTGCTTTGGGCGCCTGTCTCGTCCCTTTCCAGGGACAATTTTCCGACCAGGTCGGTCGGTCAGCAGGGGGATGAGCCAGGCGCTCGGCCGCCCGCTCGCCGTACCGTGCCCTGGTCAGCATCTTTTGCCGTCGTGATGAAGGGGGGCAAGTCGTCGGGATGGGCTGGAGGGCAGAAAGAGATATATCGATTGCTGATGTACCAGAATGCTTTCTGCTGGACTCGGGGGGAGGGGGGGGGGCGGTGAGAGAGGGAGGGGCTGGAGAGGTGGCAAGCGAGCGTAAGGAAGAAGCAGGGGGGGGCAGCACCCGCAGGCTAGGAGCAAGCAGAAGGGTTGGGTGTCATGTAAGTGATCCCTTAGCGCGATGGGCTTGGCCGGCCGGGCCCGGGCCGTGCCGTGAACACGCAGCCAGGCAAGGCGAGGCACTTCAAGGCGACCTGAGCCTAACCGCCCCGCCTTTCCGTCCAGCCTCCCGCAGCAGTACGGGCATGGCCGGGCACGAGTTGGGCGCGGAGCTAAAAACCCTCGGCAGCTCCCAGTCTCTGTGCTGACATGAGCAGAAACTGAGGGGGGAAAGGGGTGAGGCACACGTGCGGCGTAAGTCAAGACCAGGTTGGACAGCCCGGGGCCCGGCCCGAAGCGGCATAATAGTGTGCCCGTTTACAGGGTTTAGTCAGAACACCCCTTCCCCCCCTGCTTCTCTTCCGCTTTACATAGAACGTTAAGAATAAGCACGGTGTAATGGTCGGTGTTTTATTTTTGTTTTTCAAATAAAAAGTATCGTTCGGGATTAGAATTTCTTTTCAAAATTGCGAAAGAAACATATGTATGGAACATAAGTATGGAACATGTGTATGGAACATATGTATGGAACATATGTATGGAACATATGTATGGAACGTATCTATCCATTTTGTCAACGAAATAATCTCATACAGCAGATCTCTGAGAATATAAATGGTTCTCAGTTGGATGCAGTAACTATGAACTATGCACTAATGTAATTTAATGAGATAAATTCGATCTCACGCTTTGTCATAATTTTGCACAGACAGCAGAATCTAAAAGACGTTCAAGCAACTACTTACAAACTTACGAGCTAATAATCTTAAGGGTGCACACTAAAAAGAAATGTGATAATAAATCTGTCTATGCTACTTTCTCAAGCTGACTCTATAGGATAGCCATTTTGAACACACTCAGTGTTTAAGAAACAAAACAAACATTATTGTTAGTCTGATACACTATGATAAAGATAGCTTAATCTTTCTAAAAATTAAAAAAGGACAAAAATAAAAATCTTAAATAAATGCTATGGAACATAAAATATACAAAGTCAACAATACTTGGCGCAAGTGGCCCATCACAGACAAAATTGGTTTATTGCTAGCCAATAAAATGTTGCCAGAACACTGAAAGAAAAAGTAAAAAAAACTGAACAGCGAATTTCTGTTTCACTTTCGGGCAAGATTTGCCAAATATGGACGATGAAAGTGTGGCATATAAATATAGTTCAAGAGGAAACTTCCTATGGGACTGTACAGGTAAGAAAACCCAAAACACAATCTAACTTAACCAGCTATTTCACACAACGAATTTCTTAAATTTTACGTTTTAGGAGGTGCCTGATTAATACTGTTAACATCTGTCATCAGACATATCAGAAAACTTGCGGCTTGAGAATCGATTGGTCACTAAGACGAAATGAGTAGGAGGTCCACACTGTCAACTACCACACACATGGTTTCTTAAGTTTCAAATGACCGGCGTTGATTCCGTGAGGACAGCAGCCACTCCAATGAGGCACACGAATCAGACGCAGTTTGGCGACGTGTAGGTCTTGGTGGGGCTGAGAACGACGAGCTGGTCGGCGGGCGCCCTCTCGTCGGCAAACATTCCGCTCACCAGGAACGCCTGCAGCGCGGCGAAGAGGGTGCCGATGACGGCGCCGGCCAGGACGTCGCCCGGGTGGTGCATGTGGTCGACGATGCGCGAGAGGGCGATCCACCAGGCGACCAGCAGCACCAGCCACTGCACGAGCGGCCGCAGCAGCGCCAGGGTGCCCGTCGAGCGCTTCAGCCGCGATTGCACGAACAACTGAACAAAAAAACATCAAATCAAACATTTTAAAGTCCAGTCTACATCAAGAAAAGAATTTACAGAAATATTTGATGAGTTTCGAAATTTGCTTACAGCGAGGTAGACAGCTGCGTAGAATGCGAGGACGGAGTGGCCCGAAGGGAAGGACGCCCTGGCCTCCTTCTCGTCGTCCGGGTCGCCGAGGCAGACGTAGGCGCTGGGCGGGATGTACACGGGGTTGCCCGGGGTGGCCGCGGCGCACAGGTTGGTGTACGAGGAGGCGTCGCCGGGCGTCACCGGGTTGCACGCCGCCAGGAAGTTGGGCCGCAGCCGGCCGACGTAGTTCTTGGCCAGGTCGACGGTGAGCTCGGCCAGGCCGGCGCCCAGGATGAAGACGCCGTTGTGGCGGTAGACGCGGACGAGCCACAGCGGCACGTCGGCGCCCCGCCAGCGCAGGCCGCTGGGCATGGCGCGGCCCGTGCGCACCACCTCGGTCAGCGCGATCTGCGGCAGGCCAGGGCAAAGTCATTTAATAAAGTCAGTCAACGAGGCAGACAATTTGTCCGCCCCCTAGCAAAACAAAAGACATTTCAAGATAATCTCGTAAAATCTTCGCAAGTCACGGCTTTGTAAGAGTCGTGGTAAGCCACTGACCCTAAACTGCGAGGCCTTAAGGCCTTACTAATTAGTAAAACTCTTAGAAAGATAGATCAAACGACGCGAATCGTGGCGTATAAATGTTAGTTGAAGGTGATGCGGAGAGGGAAGTCAAGTCGGGCAGGGGCAGTGTCGGATGGGTTGCCAGCCTCCACGGCGGTGGCTGGCCGGGCGCCGAGCTCACCCGCGCATGCTATCGCGATGTGAGGCCCTCGAGGGCTACTTCATTCAAAGAAATCAGTGTACCGGGTGTAACTGTGAATATGAAGCAGTGTTGCGGGTTTGCCTACTCTTTACACCTGTAAGGGGCCATCGCCCCTGCGGCCATAATTGAGTTTGCAATCCCGCAACACTGCTGCGTATTCACAGTTACATCCCATACACCCTACCCCCCCAAAAATTAAATGAAGGAACAATTAAGGAAACGTCAATTTAAAAATCAGAATTTTTTTTTAGAAAAATCAAGGGAAAATAAAGGAAGGGCAGAAAAATTGGTGTACGCTTGAAATTATAGTAAAGTACCTCTCGGAGGACCTTCCTCTCCGAACACTCCATGGAACAGTACTCACCATGGCGGAGGGAATGACGAGCGTGACGAGGGCCACCATGCCGTCCGAGATGGTGTCCGGCACCTTGGGGAAGCGGATCGAGTCGTCGTGGCAGAAGAAGCCGATGCGGCGCGGCGTCGAGAAGGACCGCGGGAAGATCACGGCCAGCCCCACTGCAACAAAAGGTGAGGAAAAGAGGTCGCGATGAGTAGGTGCTCTACGATAATTCTACAGTCGCGAAGGAATAAATCGGATATTATAAACATCTCAATTATTCGTAATCGTAATCGTCTTTTTCAAAAGAAAAATAATCGTAAATTAGGCGAGTTTCTCTGTTATTCACGCTGTGAGCGAAATACAAACTCGGCAGGAACCCCTTCTCGCGGTAATAATGTTCATCACAGGCCTGGCCCAATAAAGCTGCAATCAGCCCCGCCTCCCCCGCCCCCTTCTCTAGGATCGCTGCGCCACGCCACGCCCCACCGCGCGCGCCACTGGCGCGCTGAGCGTTTAACGCCGATATCGATATCATTTTCTTTCGGAATTAGCGCCGGCCCGCCCGCGCGCCCCGCTCGCCGTCCCGCTCGCCGCCCCGCGTTACAATAGGCCCGGTGTAAAGAATGGGCAGCGTTTAATGTTTTAGTGACGTAATGGCGGCGGCCGTTTCCACTTTGTGGAAATAATTATTGCAGGAGTGGAAAAGGGGGAGGGGGAGTGGTGCGCGGTGAAGGGGAAGGGGAGGGAGGGAGGGGGAGGAAGGTATAAAGAACCGAAGGCCGAGCGCCGAGCCTATGTAATTAAGGCTGCCTTACGACTATCATTTTTCAATGGCGCGTTCACGAGTCGGGCCGCCTGAGGAGAGGCGGAGTATGATCTCCCAATCCGGAGTCCGAGCTCACAGCGCCGCCGCCCGGCTGACAGTCAACACTTTTCGGAATGAGTCGAGAGAAAGAGAGAGAGAGGGGGAGAAAGAGGAAGGAAACAATTATTCCAAGCACGGGGGGAGTGAGGAGGAGGAACGGGGATTCAGGCTAATTATTAACACCCGACGACTTAGAGAGAGAGGGGAGGGGGGGGGGGCACTTCTTACAATAACTTTTACACGGCGCACTCTGCGGCGGCGGCGGCGGTGCGCGCGAGGTTCAAAGAGAAGAGAGGCCAGCGGAGTAAGTACGTACGCACCATACGGGAGCAGAATCGGATTAAGGTATTATTGCTCTTACCGACAGACGACTGGTCGTTTGTCGTCGTGTGTGCGGCGACGGGGCCGACGGGAGTGAGCGTTTGCGCGCGTGTGTTTAAGTGAGTGTGTGTGTGTGTGTGTGTGTGGTTTGTGTGGCTGGCCGAGGCAAAACTCCGACATCCATATCCGTCTATCCATACCGTACCGTAAAGTCGGCTTACGTGACGGTCAGAAATGTGTGCACAGATACTGTCTGGAGAGAGAAAGAGGAAAAGATTGAGAGAGAGTGTGTTAGTATGCGGATGCGTGCGTCGGATGGCGTGAGGTGGAGGACCTGTATTTCTACGTCTCTAGCTTATTTCAGTACTGAGCAGAGCCAGAGGGGTCTCCCTGCGAATAAGTAGCGTCAGGGGAGAAGAGAGAAAATACCGCTGGGGTACCAAGCAAGAAGAGGAAGGTATAGTAGTAAGGAGAACCCCGCCTGACGAGACCCGGCCGCGAACGGGCTTGCAACCCAAGAAGAGAAGGAGAGGACGGACCCGGACCCGCTGCTGCACCCAGAAAAATCGCTTCTTGGAACAAGAAAATTTTACTTGTTGCAAGCTCATTTTGTACCTAAAATGACCCAAGGTCATTTTTGCATTCGATCAAGTCAAGATTGATCTTGCATGCCTTGTCCTTGATTCAACGCCGAAACGAACTTGGTCGAAGGACAAATCCACTTGGAAACAAGATTTTTTTCCTTGAAAGCGCTAACTTAAACAAGGCGATATTGCACTTGACCGCTTTAGAAGAAATTATGCTTGGGAATTCGCATTGAAACAGATGTACTTGTGATAAGAAAATCCAACTTGGGTCGTTGTTAGTACAAAAATGATCTTGGAAAATATACTTGTGAGGTGAGAGGGGTGTTTAATAAACTTGGTTAAGGGTAGGTCCTAGCGATTTTTTCACTTAAATACACCCCCCCAAAATCGCACCCTACGAACTCAGCGCTACTATCCTCAAGGTTGTGCGACGCACCGTTCAGGCTGTAGGGCATATGTGCTGAAAAAATCCAATATGGCGGAGGACGTTTTTTGGCTGGTCTCAGTTTTAACTACCTTTTTGATTTCTGAGTAAAGTTTTTGGGCGAGGATTTCATCGTATGGGTCGCTTGACACTCCGACTTCATATTTAGTACTGTTTGGCACGCCTTGTTGGCGTTGATATAGCACGAGTAGCTTCCAAATTAACATGTGTTTAAACATCGCGCCATACCGGGCGATGAGGTCAATAACTCCGATCGACACCGATTGTGTTCGGGCATACAAAAGGTTATGGTTTTCTTTTTACAAGAGGAACTGGATCAATATTTTGCATATGCCCCCCCCCCAAGTACAAGCCAGATGACGTATCTATATTCATATTTAGTTTCAGTATGAATCGGATTCGAAATTGCAGAGCTCACACCCGAGTGTATACCGGTAGTCCCGACAAAAACCCGAGTGTAACCGAGTAATGCCGAGGATAATCCGAGAGTACTCGAGTAGGTCCAAACATAACCCGAGTGAATCTGAGTAGTCCCGACCACAACCCGAATGTAACCGAGTAGTTCGGAATGCAACCCAAATGAATGCGAGTAGTCCCGACCACAACCCGAATGTAATCGAGTAGTCCGGAATGCAACCAATGCAACCCGTGTGAATGCGAGTAGTCCCGACCACA